CTCTTCCCCTCTTCCCCTCTTCCCCTCTTCCCCTCTTCCCCTCTTCCCCTCTTCCCCTCTTCCCCTCTTCCCCTCTTCCCCTCTTCCCCTCTTCCCCTCTTCCCCTCTTCCCCTCTTCCCCTCTTCCCCTCTTCCCCTCTTCCCCTCTTCCCCTCTTCCCCTCTTCCCCTCTTCCCCTCTTCCCCTCTTCCCCTCTTCCCCTCTTCCCCTCTTCCCCTCTTCCCCTCTTCCCCTCTTCCCCTCTTCCCCTCTTCCCCTCTTCCCCTCTTCCCCTCTTCCCCTCTTCCCCTCTTCCCCTCTTCCCCTCTTCCCCTCTTCCCCTCTTCCCCTCTTCCCCTCTTCCCCTCTTCCCCTCTTCCCCTCTTCCCCTCTTCCCCTCTTCCCCTCTTCCCCTCTTCCCCTCTTCCCCTCTTCCCCTCTTCCCCTCTTCCCCTCTTCCCCTCTTCCCCTCTTCCCCTCTTCCCCTCTTCCCCTCTTCCCCTCTTCCCCTCTTCCCCTCTTCCCCTCTTCCCCTCTTCCCCTCTTCCCCTCTTCCCCTCTTCCCCTCTTCCCCTCTTCCCCTCTTCCCCTCTTCCCCTCTTCCCCTCTTCCCCTCTTCCCCTCTTCCCCTCTTCCCCTCTTCCCCTCTTCCCCTCTTCCCCTCTTCCCCTCTTCCCCTCTTCCCCTCTTCCCCTCTTCCCCTCTTCCCCTCTTCCCCTCTTCCCCTCTTCCCCTCTTCCCCTCTTCCCCTCTTCCCCTCTTCCCCTCTTCCCCTCTTCCCCTCTTCCCCTCTTCCCCTCTTCCCCTCTTCCCCTCTTCCCCTCTTCCCCTCTTCCCCTCTTCCCCTCTTCCCCTCTTCCCCTCTTCCCCTCTTCCCCTCTTCCCCTCTTCCCCTCTTCCCCTCTTCCCCTCTTCCCCTCTTCCCCTCTTCCCCTCTTCCCCTCTTCCCCTCTTCCCCTCTTCCCCTCTTCCCCTCTTCCCCTCTTCCCCTCTTCCCCTCTTCCCCTCTTCCCCTCTTCCCCTCTTCCCCTCTTCCCCTCTTCCCCTCTTCCCCTCTTCCCCTTTCTCTCTCTTCCCCTTTCTCTCTCTTCCCCTTTCTCTCTCTTCCCCTTTCTCTCTCTTTCCCTTTCTCTCTCTCTTTCTCTCTCTTTCGTCCCTCCCTCCCTCCCTTTTCTCTGCCTATCTGGACACATTTTCTCTCCTTCCTTTCCCTGTTACCAGGGGCTGTGATAAGAAGTCTCGAGGGTGGTCTATCTCCATGTTTACTGGCAACACATGGCAGGACCTGCTGGGCTGTGACTTTGTGCTGGACCTCATTGGAGAGATGGAGGAGGCCAGCAACTTCAGCAGCCCGTCTCAGTCAGCTGAGTACCCCATCACTCCTGAAAGGGACAGAAGCTTCCTCCAATACTCTGACCTGGATTCGTAAGTCACCTAATACTCCTGCTCCACCCCTCGTGGCCCTGTCACTCAGTGGCTTGTCTTTCTCTCAGCACTCTGTACTGTCCTCATCTCATTTTCCTCTTCAAAAGGATCCCTCCTGCTCCAGGAATCCGGGCCCCTACCTTCCCACCACCTAGCCTGCCTCCAGAATTCAACGATCTCCATCCAGGTAAGCCCTTGCCCAGGACTGTGGATGGCACTGGGAAGGGCCACATGGGTCCCAGGCAGTGAATCAAAGAGAGGGGGAGACAGGTGATTCTCCTTGATGTAGGGCAAAAGAAGGGCTCCACTCCAAAACGTGACCGTCTATTGCTCCTTACCTGACTTGCCTTGTCACCAGACTTCTCTCTGCTTTTAGATTCAAGATTCAGAGATGACCTGAGGACACCTGTAGGCTTGGATCACTATGTAGATGATCTCTTCAGCACTGTGCTGCATCAAGGCTCTAGAGTATCGGTAAGTCCCTTTATGTTCCTTCTTACTTTCTGTAGCTGTCTTCTCCCTGTGACTCTCTCAAGCATGCCTCTGCCTACTCACTCTGCCTCTGCCTAGCCCAGATATGCCTTTGGATGGCACTTCCTCTGTGGAGTCTATCTGAGCTCACATAACTGTTGTCTCTTGATGCAGGATATGGAGAACAGGGAGTTTCTGAATGGACGCATGAAAGGAGGTGGGAAGATTGGACCCACACAGAGAGGAATCTTTCCTTCTACAGGTCTGTAAGGGGATGGGTACAGCTGGGAACACCTGTGGGGCTACATAAGCTTCAGTGAGTGCAAGTCAGGGAGTCCATTAAATGCTAATTATTGCATGGGCTCAGCTGATTCATAAAGAGCATTGGTCTTTAGTGTAGGTCATCAGAAGTTGCACTCCTCACTCCTGGGTGCTGGGAGATAGATTCTTTGGGGAAGCTTGTTCTGCTTTTTAATTTCTCTCTTGGGTTGGTCTTGGGGTCAAGGTACCAGGTAAGCTTGCTTCTGACCCAGGCCAACTCTTCCCTAGGCCAATGCTCGTAAGTCCTATATTCAGCTTCTATTCACCTTGTCCTTTCACAAAATAATTGCTGCCTTTCTCAAGGAAGGGTTTTAATCTTTCTTATTGCTTCCTTACAGACTTTCCCATCATGTCTAGCTATTCCTTGGGTTAGTAAGTCTGAACCCTATAGAGGCTCTGGTTTGTGTGTTTGGTTTCTTTACTTTTCCTCATTTCTGTGGAGCTAAGACTCAGGCATTTTCAGTAGAGTGGAGTCAAACACCAATATATTAGTGACACTGAGAAATTTGCCTGTGTAGGAACACACCCAGCGGTGTCAAAAAGGTGAGGAATGTCCTGTTCAGATCATAACTGAGACTGGGACTATTTTTGGCTATTGTAGAGATTCTGGGGCATGACAAGCCCTATCACTCATGCGGCTACTTAGATCAGTGAGGAATGTGAAGATATCTCCATGGTATCCCTGAGCTGTTCTCACTGGCGAGGACATCATGATTCAGTAGACCTGTGCTGTGTGCTGGCTCACTCCTAGCTGAGACTGATCTCCATGCCATTACTCTACTGGCTTTACCTTCAGTGTGATTTCTGTTTTGTGGTCTCATGTGGGACTTGACTGCTGAGAGCAGAGGAATTCCTTTCTCCCCACAGTTCCTTCACATGATACACAATGCCATCCAGGCCAGGGCTCATTGTTCATTCACCCTTGCTACCAGCTGCAGAGACAGATATGGACGTGGTAGTCCCAGAGATTTTTTTCCCATCCCTCAAGAGAAACCCCTCTCTGTAATCATACACAGACAAGAGTTATTTATATGTTTAGTCATGAAGAAAGGTGGTGTCCTAAGCTAGACTGCAGAAGCAGGTTCTTCATATTGCTATTGTAGTGTTGCAGGCCACATATTTCTCTTTGGTTTCCTTTTTCCACCTGAGTTTTGCTGTGTCCTGCTGTGTGTGACAAGATAAACCAATCACATGTCCCTGTGGTTGGTGCATCTGGAGAGAGCCAGAGGTACCCAGCCTGTGCGATGTGCTCTGCGGGACCGATCAGGGCTTTTTCATCTGTGATTCCCCCAAAGCACTGTGTGTATGGTCTTCTAGGCTTCTCTGGAATGACTCAAGCCCCAGTTTACCAGCCTTCGATGATGGGAATGCCAGCAGGCATGCCTATGATGCCAGCAGCTGGTGGGATTGCCCCCATGCCAGGTAGTAATACAGTGTTCCAGTAACTCCACAGGGGAAGAGGATGGGACGGTGGGTTTTGTCATAGAGCCTCTGCATTTGAGTCTCAGTGAACACTCATCTCTGGGCTGATGCTCAGGCACTGTGGGGAATGATTGCCTGTGGGTTTTGCACACATGTGTGTCTTCCACAGCCATGGTTATGCCCCAGTCTGTGGTTCCAGCTGTAGATCCCAATCAGTTAGCAGCACAACAGCAAGCCTTTATCAACCAGCAAGCCATGCTCATGGTGAGTGGAAGGGATGGGCTGGGAGGGTCCCAGGAACTGGGGAAGAACAATGCACTGGTGTATGTGCTGTGAAGAGGTTAGCTATGCTCCCCTCTTGCCTTAGACCTGCTCTGTAACACTCTGTGCTTTTGTGCTGGGTGTTAGCTATATAAAGTTGGCATTATTTAAGACTGCAAAACTGGAAACTCCCTTTTTGCTCCTTTTGTGTGCATGAGGACACTGAGGCACCATAGGTGAGTGAAGTAGCAGGGAACAAGAGCAGGACCTGAGAAGCCTCAGCTGTAATTTCCATGTGTTTTTAAACTGGGATTTGCTACAGGAGCAGATTGGCCATGTTCTGCTTTCTGTACAAAGCCTTGTGAGTGCATGGAGGCCCCAGGCTACCTCACTGGTAGCTGAGTCTTTGGGATGTTGTCGGGAGTCTGCATACTTGGCTAGGTGGGAGCTGGCTCCCTGGGCATGCCTTGTCTGTAACACTGGGAAACTTGTAGTGGACTGTATAGTTGTTCTGTGATTACCAGTGAAAGAAAGGGACAGCCTGACTGGTGGCTGGTGCTTTTGTGTAGTCTAGAGCTCACAGACATTCCAATTCCTTCCTGCAGGCCCAGCAGATGACCCTTCAAGCCATGAGCATTTCTCAGCAACAGCAGCAGCAGCAACAGTCTCTTGCAATCACAAGGCCAAGAGTCTCAAGTCCACCACGAGCCCGAGCCTCTGCTCCAGTGTCAACCCCAGTCCCAGCCACTTCCCCAAAACCCAAGCAGCATCCCAGCAGCCAGAATGCTATACCACCAAAGGCTCCAGAACCTCCAGCTAAGGCAGAAGAACTGGTATGAGAAACACACAGCAGTGGCAGATTTGGTTTGAATTTAATGATTTGTGTTTGCTCTGCTTCCCTCGCAGTGTGGCAGTGGTTTGGCAGAGAGCTGTGCCTACCTATGATATTGAGGCCTTTCAAACTCTGCCTGATGAGTCTTTAAGACACAGGATCAAACCTTGGTGGCATTAGCTCTGTGGAGGTTTGGCTACAGAGTTGGCTCATCTAAATTTTTCCATTGGAAAATTCATCACTTTGAGTTCTTTATCTTCCAGCAAGCTGTCTTAGGCCTGTAATATACTCCTTCTCTGGACTTGGTTGATGAGTCCTTGGGTCAGAGACTGATCTCATGGGACACTCCCAGATGAGGAGAAGTTCTAAATCAGAACTTGGCGAGGGAAGATCACCTCTGAACTTAAGGGCCCTATGGAGGTATCTGCTGGCTAGTGCTAACTATGTCGTGAACTGCTTGCAGGTTTATGACTACACAGAAGACCAGTTCTCCGACAGTGATGATGATGACTATCCTCGGGAAACTTTCCAGCAGAAGAGAGAATATTTTCAGAAGATGGGTGGGTATCTATCACTTTGAGAATTTCACTCATCATAAAACTTTGTTCTACAGCCTCCCTGTCATAACAAGGTGTTCTTTTGTCTCCCTGTCTGGAACCCAGCTGATCCCAGCAGCAGCTGCTGGTGCTGTGTGTAGGAGTAATTTTGGGTACCTGCTCAGCTGGCTACAATTCAGATTGTGAGATGTTGTATTGCCAGTTTTCTAGAAATCTTTGGGCTTGTGACTCCCACACCTTCCTTTGCCTCTATAAAGCACAGGCTTCTGCTGACTGATACAAGGGTGGGAACTATGCCATTAGTCGTAGGTTTTGGCTGTGGGATTAACTAGCTCAGGTTCCCCTTTCTACACAGGAGAGCAACATATCCGAGTGAAGAAAGTCAGGCCTCCTTCCAAAACCTGGACCCCTCCAGCAAATCCCCAGCCAAAGCAGGAGGAGAAGGAAGAGGAGCAGGAGAAGATGAAAGAAGAGAAGCCTAGCCCTAAAACAGAGGCAGGTAAGATTCTGTGCAATGGACACCCAGGCAGGCTGACAAGCAGGAACTTTGCAGGAGCATCAGGCCAGTATATAGCCAGAGGAGGAAAGAGTCTACATCTTGACAGGGGAGGGGAGGGCAAGGAGAAAGGCCTGAGCTTTGGGAAGTGGTATCACAAAGCAAGGCAATGGAAGACCATGGCCAGTCAGCCTGGGGTGAAAGACAGGGAGCTTCAAATGAGATAAAGGGATTTATTTTGTATCTTTGCTGTCATCCCCATAGCTCCTCCTCCCCCTTTGCCACCTCTTGAGCCAAAGCCAAAAAAGCAGACACCAAAAGCAAAGAAGGAGCCACCTGTAGTGAAGCCTTCAGGCCCCAAGACACGTCCTGAACCCAGCCGAGAGATCCGCAACATCATCAAAATGTACCAGAGCAGGCCAGCCCCTGAGCCCCAGCCTATCGAGCCTGTCAGGTGAGAGCATGGGATCCAGCCAGCTGGGCAGGAACATGAGTGGGACTATATCCCGGCACTGCCACATGGCTCCACTGTGGCCACAACCCCTCTGCAGCCCCTGTAACTGTGTTCCCCATTTCCTTGCAGAAGAGTGTCCAAGCCGTTTTTGAAGAAGAATGACCCCAAAAATGAGGCTCTGGCCAAACTGGGAATGATGAACCTCCCATCTCCCAAATCAGTGAGTTTTTTGCTCCCCAGTCACCTTAAGAGCTCAGCAGAGAGGGCCTCTATATCCAGGTCAAGCTCCTCTAACAGGTTGGGAGCTACCTGGTAGTGCAGTAGCAGACAGGTGATTTCTTGTTGGGTTACTAGATAGCTGTGAGCTCGTACCATGGTGCTGTCCATCCTAGACTAGGTTCCAGACCGTAAAGTCTGAGTTCCTGAAGAAAAGGCTCTGGAGCAGCAAGTCCTTTGTGGTATGTTTAAGGCTGATCTGGAAGCAAGCAACTCATGTTCCCCACATTTGGCACCAAGATCTTGGCCCATTAATGTCTTTTTCTTTCCTTCCCAATTGGAGGATTCATTCTCAAATACTTGGTTCTCTGCACCTGTGTTTGGTTGATATTCATCTGTTTAGATCATGTGTTGATTTAAGGTTCCTGATATCCCTGTTCACACATATCTTGCTTCCAGGTTTGGACTGCTGCCCTAGGGATGATTTATAACAGTGCTGCCAGGAGAGAGCACAGTAATGCAGAGAATGACTGGGTCAAATGGTTTTGCTGTTTTGCAGCCAACTCCCCTGTCACAAGAGAAGACACCTCCGCCTCTCAAGCCCAAGCCAGGCTCAGCTTCCAGCTCTATCAAGGAGAAGCAGTTGCCTCTCCTGTCCATCTTCAGCCCAGAGGGTACCCCACCTTCTGCTCCCCCTCCTCCCCCACCATTACCTTCGCCTGGGAGCCCAGGCTGGCAGGAATCCACCAGGAAGGGTAAGTGCTGGCTTCACCCAAGGGGGATTTGGTAGTGGGGGATGAGGAGGGGACAGGGTCGAAATCAGCCCAGTGGCTTGGGAGAGAAACAGCACATGTTCTGTCATCGGCCAGCTGGCCAAAGTCTGAGTGGACTGTGTGAAATCAGAGATACTGTCATAGTTCCAGTCTGGCCCAGTGATCAGCATGGTACTTCCCAGCTCTAGCTCTTCTCTTTCTTCCCAGTGCAGCGCAGGATGTCAGGCACGAATGATGAAGGAGGGGCTGGGTTTCTCTGAAAAATGCAGCTAAAACCAGAAAGGACCTTTGGACTACAGCTTTATCAAGGTCCTGTCCACAATATGTTTTATTGCTTACCTGAAGCATAATTACTTTATCAAGGCTGCTATTCAATGGATGAACTTCAGACCAGGGAGGAATGGGAAGCCAGGTGGTTTACCTTCTAGAGCCTCTGAAGGGTCCTTAGAGAGAAGCTGAGAAATAAGGGAATGTTTCTCAGAGGGAGAATGAGAGCCTGGCAGACTTTGGGACATTGGCCACATAAAGAGTTTGTGGATACTGTCCACCTAAAAAATGGCAGAGCTAATGCTTCTCAGCAGTAGTTTGGAAATGTTATTCAGTCTTATGTTTTACTTCTGAATTTCCATAATTTATTTTATACTTTGCTGCTATTTTTGATATGTACTAAAGTATTTCAAGTTGTTTAAAACACTCATCAGCATCACATTTTATAACATGCAAGGAACAGTCAGCCAAACACATTACTGAAGGACTCCATCCTGCAGCAGCTTCCCTGGTATAAAAGAATTGCCCTGGTTTACTCCCCCTGTCTTTTAAAAAATGTTTCTTGAGAAGTCCTGTGAAAGTAAATCAAAGTAAGTATGTGCTTTTGAATAGAGAGATAGAAACAGCTGAACTGTGGGACCTACTATATTTTCTGTCTACGAACTCTGAAGTTTTGAAAGTTGGGAGTGCTTAAATGAAGACATTCCTACCTCATAAAGCAATGCCTTCAAACTGAGCCTGTCTTTAATAGATCTCCTGCAGAGAGAAAACCTGGAGCAAGTCCTGGGTGCCTCATACCAGAACCTTGCTGTCTGCAATCTCAGGGGAGAACTTTTATCTCATTTTGCAATGTTTAGCAGCCTTTTTGTAATGAAATAAAAGTGAAACTTGCATCTTCAACCTTAAGCACAGTGGTAGTATTTTGCCTGGGATGGTGTGTGCTCTTATCTCTGGAGTGTTTCTATTCTGAGCACTGAACCTTTTGGCTAATACAGCAAGTACAAATGCTATCAGAAATGCTGGTACTCACATGTTGACTGTTTTGTCCATGCATTGACATTAGCTGATCACTGACCTTCAGGAGGGTTCCTGACATTAATCTTCAGTCAGACGTGTGGCACTGTCCCCTTTCTCTCGGTAGCTCTCTGGCAGGTGGGAAGGTGACCCTGTAGTCAGCAAAGCCCATCTTCACTGCTCTTTCTCCTCACACAGACTCTGCTGTAACAGTAGCAGAAGATGAGGGTATCAAGACTCAGCTGTACAAACTCACTACCAGTGTCAGCTTTTCCTATGCCAACCCTGCCTGGAAAATCTTTCTGCGCAAAGAGGTACAGTTCATTAGCTGATGGCTGGCTATGGGGGGAGGGAACTGGTCCTGCATTTGGTTAAAATCACTTTTTGTGATAAGACACCCTGTATGATATAAGACCATAAAGATAGTTCTGGGAGGAGCTCACATGACACAGGAGTCGGCAGCAGGGGATCATCTCATAGGAGAGCTGGGTCCTACTCTGCCTTACTGACTCTTGTGTCTCTGTTTCCCTACCTGTCCTTTCCTTCCTCTAAAGCACTAAGAAATCTACAAGTAAAGTACATTTGTTGTTACCTGGTGCTTTCCTGTTAAAATAGTACAAATGTGTTCAAAATCAAGTATTGGAGAGTGCACTGAACTACCAAGGGTCATCCCATGGTCTCACCAATTTACTTTTGGTCCTTTGCTCCTGGTCCTTCTGTTCACATTCAGTGTCACTTCCCTGCCTGTCCTTGGAGATGAACTCCTCTCTGGCAGTAGGGCATGTGGATTACAAAGCATCTCTGGGGAGCTATTTCTGTAACATCACTATTGTTTTTATCCTCTTCTTGCAGGTGTTTTACCCCAAAGAAAATTTCAGTCATCCTTACTGTCTGAACTTGCTGTGTGAACAGGTATGTACTGGTGTAAGACTCAAGGCCTGTTGTCTCTCTGGGGACAAACCACTCTATAATTACATTGCATATGTTGCCTTCACTTCTGCATCCCTAGCAGTGTTGGTCTCTTCTCCAGGTCCATCCAGTCAAGCCCCTGTTTACTCCTTTCTGAAACTCAGCCTGTTGAACAGCCTCAGATGCTCCAACACAATCAGATGTGGCCTTTTCAGTGGAACCCTCTGTTTCCTTCCTCTGCAGATCATGCGTGACACCTTCTCTGATTCCTGCTTTCGGATCTCCAGGGAGGAGAAGCGCAAGATGAAAGACCTGCTGAGTAAATAACAGCCCCATCATCCCCTCCTCCCTGTGCCAATCCCAGATTTGCCTGAAATGAGAAATTGGCTTCCAAGCCCTTTCAGGCAGGACTTAGGGCAGAGGAGAAACGTTTGTCACTGCAGCAAGAAAGTGCATTTGTGTGTACTGTGTAGTGCTGTGTATGAATGTTTGTTTATTCCAAATGGTCAGAAAATGGCCCTGAAATTTCTTCAAGCCAGAAAAACTTAGTTCTGATATGTTTATTGTGGGGAGGGGAAACTGAGGCCCAAGGAAGTGATTTTGAGTTATTTCAAAGTCCAATTGTCTGACAGGAACTTCATGGGGGAGACAAAGTAGTAGTAGACTGATGTGTGCAAGCAACGTCGTATCCTTTTGCCTCTGCATGTCATTTGCTGCACTGTAGTCACTGAGGGGAGCTGGTGGGAATGAGTCCCTCGGCAGAGGGAGGCTTGGCTATCTTTGTCTTACTGAGAAAGTATCTGCTTTGTAACCCTGCTAGTGGAGTTCCGGGTTGGCAATGATGTCCAGTCCATACAGGAGGATGGGATAAAGAAGAGGATTGTACTGGCTGCTCGGGATAATTGGGCTAACTATTTCTCCCGCCTTTTCCCAGTTCATGTGAGTCTTAATCTCTCACCAGACCCTGGGCTTGCTTCAGCTGTGTGGCTTTTGTTCACCTGGGATCTCTTTCTGTCTCCCTGCCAGGCCACATATCACTCATTCTGCTGCTCCTTCTGTACCTTGCTGGGTTTGACCCTGTCAGCCCAGGGTACCTCATGGTACATGTGGTAGTGTCTTCTTCCCCTGCTGCATCCTGTCCAGGTGGGATGGAGCCTTTGATGCTCTCTGCTGCCCTTCCCTTACAGGGCGAAAATGGAAGTGATGTCCAGATCCTGGGTGTTTCTCACCGGGGTATGCGGCTGCTGAAGGTGGTGAAAGCAGCTGGCTATAATCCTGAGCACCTGAAGATTCTTCGCAGCTACAGGTGAGCAAAAGGGCACTGGCTGCTGCAGGATAATAACTGTCACTTGCAGGATGCTTTCAGAGTGTTAGGAGGCAAACTGAACAGGTGAGCTCAAAAGTCCCTGGTTGTGGTGTGCTCTCTAGTATTGTCCTAGGCCAGTTGTGGCTCAGTGATCTTTCTGGTGAGTTTGGCCTTTCTGTTTCCTTCCTATCTTGTGCTTTGCTTACAGTAAGTGAGCACTAGGTGCTCCACATGTCATCACAAGGGAGGTCCTCAGCGTGGTACAGTCAGTGAAAGCCATGAGCTATTACTGTTGTAATCCAGTGCTGGTGAAAGGCCACCCTCTGGAACATGCTGAGGCCTGCCTCCATTCTCAGTCCTTGGAATGAGTTCCCACCCCCATGATCTGCAACCCTACCTTTGGCAGAAGGAGTCTGAGCATGCTGGCTGTGTTCTCAGCTTTGCAGATGTGCTCTCAGTGGAAATGAAGGGCACTGATGCCCTGGAGTTCTCTCTGAAGACAGAGCAGCTCATCCTGCACTCTCCGAAGGCTCCATGCATCAAGGCCATGGTGGAACTCTTCATCCAGGAGCTGAGGCAGGTGAGGGAGCGGCTGTAGTGCACTAGAGAATTAAGGTGGTTTCCCACATTGACCTGAGAGGGTCTGTGGGTTGATGTGCTCTGAGTCCTTCACATCCTGGGCATGAGATTTGACCTCCCCATTACTTTTTCCCCAGGATACCAACTACGTTGTTGCTCTGCGCAGCTACATCACAGATGACAAGAGCCTTCTTAGCTTCAAGAAGGGTGACCTCATTGAGTTACTGCCCATGCAAGGCGTGGAGCCAGGTGAGGGAGTTTGTGGAGATTGGCAGGAAAGGTGGGGACTAGGTTCAAGAGCCTGCTGGACCCATGGTGCCCAGGAACTCTACGTGCTGCTGTCGAATAAACCAGAGGAAAGCAGATCATTAAGGGCTGGCATAGTCAGTCTTCAGCTCTGTCATTTCCTGACCACAACCCACCTTGTTCCAGCTGCCATAGTTATAAGGGATGTTATCTTAGACTGAAGGAAAGCCTGGTCAGTCTGATGCTCTCCTTTGCCAGTAGAATGCTTAACTGCTTGTTTCTCTTGGTAACTGCCATGCCATGCTTCCTGACTCTCCCCTGTTTCTGCAGGCTGGCAGTTTGGCTCCACTGGTGGCCGCTGTGGTATTTTTCCCACCAGCCTAGTGCAATTGGCTGCAGCCCCTGATTATCTCAGCACCAGCATGGACAGACATGGAGGGCTGCAGAAGAGCATGAAAGCTTCCCCAGAGAGCAGGAACACCAGCAGGGAGGTGAGTTCTCCTTGGGGAACTTCTAGGGGATATGGCTGGGTTCTGTGGAACTGCCAGGGTGGGTCCATGGCCCTGGTAGTGTCTAACCTCCAAGGCTAGAGGGAAGAAGATGATTGCTTAATCCTTGCAGATGGAGACACTCAAATACTGTCATAGTGGGAGGGGGAGGCACCACACACAGATGAGGCCTTCCCAGGTCTGGCAGGTGAGAATACACACTGCAGCTCCTCAGCTGACTTTTGAGGGTGGGTTTGGTGCCTGTCCCTGCAGAGTTCTGTTCCCAGCGTCACATCAGAACCCAACAGCATCATGTTAGTCCCTGCTGGTGATCATTATACCATGATGGACTTCGCCACAGCCTACTTCCGAGAGGCTCAGTCCATGTGAGTAGGCTGAGGTCCCCCCTGAACAGGCATACACAGAACCTGTGGAGCCTGATTCACACCAAGCCATTTCTGGGGATATTTCTTGGATTGCATGCTCCTTCTCTGTTCAGGCACAGACTGAAGGGAACACCTGCTGAAAAGAAGATTGTAGCTGACCTGGTCCAGCACACCAAGGTGAGACCAGTATCTCCCCATGGCTACACCCAGAATCCCAGCTCCAGCACTGCCTCTAGTTTTGTCCCAATATAGCAAAAGTGCAGAGGGCAGATCCTTGGCTGCAGCCTCTGGAGACGTGTAGGGGCCCCTACTTTTCAGTGCTGCCTGCGAGATACTGGGCACTCGTGTCTTTTGTGAAACTTGCAGCACAGCTCTGTGTGATCTACCTCCCCAGCTTACCCTTGTATTCTGGCCCTGCAGGTCCCAATCCAGGACTCTTTGCTGCGGTACTCTGACAGTGAGCTGAATGAGCTTGCTACAAAGAACTTCAAGAGTAAGTACCTCCCTAGGACACAAAAATGCAGAGGCTGGAGCAGGGGTGAGTGGGATGGCCTTGGTGGTCACACGTAGGCATTATGGGGCCCAGAGCAGGGAATGAAAACTACGAGAGGAGGGGCCCTCCTAAGGCATTTCTGCAGTTAATAACCATCTGTGTCCATGCTGAAAACATCCAGCAAAATGCTCTTTGCCTCAAGTGCAAAGTGTTCAAGAACACACACTGCCTGGGCTGATGCCCCACCAACTACACACGTCCAGTGCAAGCCTTGTAATAGCCAGTGGAGCAGAAAAGCTTTCAGGACATTTTCTAGTCTACTGCCTGCCCCATGGCAGGATCACCTCTGCTTTGACCTTAATGCTCACCTTCGCTTTGCAGCTCTGATGCGGTTCATGGGAGATCAATCAAAGCTTAAGAAACAGAATGAGATTAACTGCATCTATGAAATTCTTCAGGTTTGTGACCTTCCCCTGGGCAAGGCACTGAAGTACCAATGGGAGTGAAGGGCCAAGACCTTGGGAAGGGAGAGAGCTGGGAGAGCTATAATGCGACCTCCTACATGAGAAAGGGAGCTGAAGCAGAGAGGCTGATTAAAAAACATGGGGGCAAGGGGTTGCACGTAAATGGTTTCCCTGGATATCACTGGATGAGAGCACAACCTGACTCTCCTTCTTTAAACCTAGATAACACTAGAGACCAGAGGCTGCAAAACCCAAGCTTTAAGCCAGATTTGCAGAGCTCTGGAGCTGGGAGAGGAAGGGCACAGAGATGACCCAGGGCCTCTCTGATGCTCTTGTTTCTTCTCTGATGCTGTCTTCTCCTCTCTGAATGCAGCTGTGCAAGGAGAAGGAGAATTTGCATGATGAAGTCTACTGCCAGGTCATCAAACAGGTCACCCACAACCCTAACCAGTGAGTACCAGCACTGTTGGCTCCTGTGCATGTACAGCTGCAGGGGAACCATCTGCTTTGCTGCACGGACACCAGGCTCAGGGCAGAGGCTGTCCTCTAACGATGTGTTGTCCCCAGCTGCTCAGATGCTGGTGGTTTTGCTGACCACTCAGGAAATTTAGCTAGTCACTGGGTTTGGCATTTTCACTTCAATGGATGTTTGTCCTTGTATCTCTGGCTGCTGATACAGCTGGGCACTTGTAAACATTCCTGGTATCTCCCAGTAGTGTGCTGCTCAGAGCCCCAATTTCCTCAACACAGCCCTGGGGAACTGATACAACATTTAGGGACTGTCCTGACCCCACACTGTCCTGCAATGTGGCAGCAGAGTGGCCTTGACTGTTCCCTTTCTTTCTTTGCTGTTTGAATAACTGAATCAGTTCCTCCCTCAGCATAAGAAACCTCTGATCAAGGGCCACCACCTCATTTTCTCCCACCTGCTATAGGTGTTCAGAAGGGCAGAGGCTCACTTTGAGCAGCAATTGTCTTGTTCCTAGGTGATCACAGTTCTTTCTGTCCCACAGGGAGAGCGTGCTGCGTGGCTGGTTGCTCCTAAACTTGCTAACTGGGTACTTTCTCCCTTCTAACATACTGATGCCCTATGCCACCAAGTTTCTGCAGCTAGCCAGCAGTGATCCATCTAGCACCCACCATGGTATGACTGTTTCTGTGTCCTGCAAAATAAATGTCTGCCCCCTTGTTATTGAGGTCCAGTGGTCAAGGAAAGAAGAGAGGATTCAGGCAGGGACATGATCCAATGGGAAAATCTCCCTTATCCTGCTAGGCAGCAGAAATGAATGGGGTACTGGGGGAGCTGAACCTGCAGGCAAGAGCCTGCTTTGTATCTCTAGTCTTTCTGTTTGCAGAGGTCATTTCCCATTACATCTTCACCCAGGCAAGGTGGAATTGTGTCTCTGAGGCTTAGGCCCAGTTTGACAGCTAGACACTGGGGGAAAGGCAGGCTGTGGTCTCCCAGAGTCATCAGCTGCGAGGTATTTGGGGTGGAAACCTGCCAGAGAAAATGGTTCTAGTTCTCCCATCCTATCATTCCTTTGTATTCCTTCTGCCCTGGACGCTGTCTGGGGCTGGTCACTCATGATCTGGATGTGTCCTGGCAGAGCAGAAGATGAGGTCAAGTCTCTCTGCTCTCCCAGCAGCAGCCCTGGGTTAAATTCAATACAGCCAGGATGACCCAACACCGTAGGAGACAGTGCTTAGTCCTCTGTTTGGCTCAGCACATGAAGCTTTTTCCTTTTCCTGCAGATATAGCCAAGATCTGTCAGAGCAACCTGCGGAAAAATTTCATGTACGGGGGCCGTCGCCATCTTCCTTTCCCTGTGGAGATAGAGGCATTGCTGGTATTGAGGGGCAGAGAAGTGGGGACGTTGGGAAAAGGGGGAGGGCAGAGGCTTGCCAGGAGCTGCCATGTGCAGCGCTACAGTGGTGGGTGTGTTCCAAGAGAGGTGTCTGTCAGGGTATTAAGAATTGCAGTGCCATGGAGTAGGCAGGGGTATGGTCAGGCAGTGGAAGGCAGAGATGAGGAGGAAGAGGGAGAAACAATTGTGGGCTGATGGGATGGATCCACGTCTTGCTGCCTAAAGACTGTCCTTTGCAGAAGGGACATGGCGCCCGCCGGCTAGTGATACTGATGCCTGGAGGTGTGGAATACCTCACCAGAATCAAGACATTCACTGTGAGTTTTCTGCTTTGAATTTCTTCATTGATCCAAACTCTGAAGTACACCAGGGAACTCCCTTATCTGTCAAAACCTTGGGTTTGGCCTGTGCTTCCCACAGTGCTGTGACAGTTTTCCACTCACTTCCTAGGAATCCCTGTAGCAGTGTACTTCTGCAGGGCCTGCACAATGCTGAGATGCCTCACCCAGCTTGCTTTGTGCAGTGGCCAGAGCCATACTGCTGCCCTCCAGCAGGCCCAGTATGTCTAACTGCTCTGGGGCTGCTCTGGCCTTGCCTGGCCTTGGTATTTACTTGCTTCTTCCCTTGCTTCAGGTGGCCAAGGAGCTCTTGCAGGAGATCTGTGAGCAGATGGGAGCAGGTGACCAGGAAGAGATAGAGGAATTTGTTCTTTTTGCCATCAGGAGTGACAGCAATAATCCTGGCAAGTAGAGACTAGCATCTAGCTTCTTAAAGGAGTTTCTCCAACAGGGAGTACCATGGCTATTGTTCTGGATAGTTCCCCCACACTTGCTGGCTCTGGGGAGGTTCCTCTGTACTAGGGTTGTACCTTCTCAGGGGCTGTGTTGCTTGCTCCTGAAAGAGGTGTGTGTGTCTGTGTGGGTCCGTGCCCCTCTGGAATGGCTGATGTTTAGTCTCGTAAGGGCAGGGTGGGATAGAGGTGTGCAGGAAGGCTCCAGTCCCAGGCCAGAGCTCAGCCCACTCTCTCAGCACCAAGAGTGATGACCTTCTCTCTGTGTAAACATGTAGATAAAATAGTGAGGCCGATAAGATCGGAGGAGTATCTTCATGATTACCTGCTGGAGGACAACTTGGTCACTGTGACTTTACGCAGGCTCATCTGGAGCACACCTCTGCACTTTGAGAACAAAATTTATACTGATGTCCATTATGGACAGGTAAGCAAGGCCAGTGTGAGCACCAGGCACATCCCTAGCAGGGGCAGAGCTGGTGCACAGGCCAACGGGAGTGTCCCACAGGGGCTGGAGAAGGGGGGGGCTTTGGCTGATTGCTTGGTACACTGTTTCTGGAAATGACTAATAGCTGAAGGTATGGGTGCAAGGCAGGCAGTGCACCTGCAGCCTTAGCCTATAAACTGTACTGGTCCAGACGTGGCTTGTCTGCCATTCTGCACGCTCTTCCTGAGCCCAGAAAGCCTTTGCTTTCATGTTACCAGCCTGAGCTGGATTTGTCAGCAGCAAGGCAGGATGTGGGTCTCTGCAGGCTGGCGCTGCCCAGGCCTGCCTTACCCTCTGTCAGATTTAACGATGTCCCCTTTCCTGCGCTGTCTCGCAGATGCTGTGGGATTACCTGAATGGGAGGATACTCTTGAGCCGCAGCAAAGAAATGGAGATGCAGGTGGGCATTTTGGCAATGCTGCAGCACTGGGCCAAACCAGAGCAGAACAACTCTGCTCTCTCCAGGTATGTCTGTCCCAGGGTGGGTGTCTATCTCTAATGGCTGTCAGCACCCCAGCGGTTACAGGTAGGTGCCTGAAGATACTCTCTGGATAACGAAGGAATGGACAGTTCTAGACAACATAAGCTACTAATTAATGTTACTTAGTGACTGACTCCTGCCCATAATCAAGAAAGTTCACCTGTTCACACTCCTTTATCTCTGATCCACATTTCCTTTCCTGACTCCTCCTGACCAGAGGGTCATGAGGGTGCCAGAGGCATTTCTCTGTAATACCAAGAAGGAAGTGCATGAGCTTAGGGCTGGGATGAACGCTTCTTTGTTCTTTCTCACAAGTGCCAGAATTTTCAACCCTGCACACCTGAACTCTGTACTGATGTCTAATGGGAATGAAAATGTCCCTGGATACTAGAAAGTTTCTGTCCTGCAGCCCCGAGCTCTATTTTCACACTCCTTCCTTCCTGTATCCTTATGCACTTTGACTCAGAGTTGAGGTGATGTCTCCATCAGCTCCCCTTACAGCACCAGCAGCAGAGGGTAGCGGTGTAGCCCTGCTGGGCATGGGGAACTCTGCTCTGTGTAGTGCTTTGGACGCACAGGAGCAAGACAGGGTTGGAGTAAGGTGGTGTTCAGCTGAGATTGCCTGTGAAAGAAACACCCCGTGGCTTCACTTCCATGCCACAGTCCTTGTCTGAAGAGCTTCTGTTGTCTCCAGAAAGGAGGGATTTCTCTCAGTGCACTGGTCAGTGGTGCCCAGCCATCTTCTCTGTGGAAAATGGTGGTCTCACTGTCTCTGATGTTTTCTTCCATGTGTTATCCAATTCAGATACAACCTGTTGTGCTCTTCCCCTCTCCCTCCACCCTTGGCCCCAGCCATGCAATTGAAAACCGTTGCCACATCCCCTCCTTCCGCTTATTCCCCTGGTTGATTTTTTTTTTTTTTTTTTTTAGCTGGGCAAGGGGTAAATTAGTATCTGCTTTTGGCACAGGGAAGAACTGAATGAGTACACACCAAAGACCCTGCAGTCCTCCATCAGAGTTCAGGCTCTGGAGAGCCATGTCGGCATGCTGCTGAGAACCAGGCAGCCCCTCCAGCCAGCGGATGCAAAAATCCAGTTCATAGGTGAGGAGACATCCAGATCTGCTGGAGTTGTCCGTCCTGAGCATGATGGAAGCTGCTCTGAATGCACTTTTGGGACAGTTCCTGAGGCTGGCGAGGATCCTCAGAGCCTGGAATGGGCCATGACATAGAGCTCCCTGGCAGCCTCCCCCTGCAGACTGGCACTTGTTCCCAAGCATGGTGATCACAGTATAAGTTCCACCTCTTCTGTAAAAGTCTGCAGTAGATTTTCAGAGCTCTGTACAAGTTGTGTTTTAATTGATATTCTGGCTGCACATCTATTTTCTGGTCAGAAAAGAACAGGACGTCCATTCAGGCTGCTGGGAGTTGAGTATCAGCAGCCTGGGGGTGAGAGAGAAGTTGTCAATATTACTTTTTAACATAGAAAAGCTTGGGAACACTTGCAGCTTCTGACCATCTCAGGTTGATGCAGCAGATTGCCAGCTGGAAGCTGCTGCCTGAAAGTCACCTTTTGCTTTCTTATAGAGCACATGATGAAATCACCTTTCTTTGGCTACAACATCTACTTTGTAGAGAAAGTCAGTGATGACGCAATCCCTATGCCCTGTCTCTTTGGTGTGAATAAAGAGGAGATCATCGTGGTGGATGACACCACCCAGGTATGCCAGACAATTCCTCTCTGGAGTCCAGAGTCCTGATGTCTGTCAGATGTTAACTTTGACTTTTAGATCTTGAGCAGGAAGAGACTGTATTTACCTGCATCACAGCCATGCTAACAACAGCCCTAGCCCAAAGCAGGTGACAAGAGTGGTAGAACACCTAGTACTGCCATATGCTCTTTTGTAAGTAAATCCAGTGACCATGCTAACAAATGCAGATCACATTCCTGGTTGTCCCGGTCTTGCAGGAGTTCTAGGGACATGCTGTCAGCAGGAACCTGCCCTGTACTCTGTACACACTGCCCTGTGCCCTGGTCCTTGTCTCACCTTTCAACAGGCTCTTGAGGTGAATCCTCCTTGGTGAGAATCAGGTGGTTTTATTTGTAAGGACGGCACCAGAGAGTTTTGTGGCTTTTCTCCTCACACAGGCAGTCTCCTGCATCATTCCACTGAAAGAGCTGCAGAAGATGCGAACCCTGCAGCCTGTCTCTGATGGTGGCCTTCCTGGCATAGAACTGAACTATGGCTCAGCTGCCAGCCCCAAGACTTTGTGGTTTGAACTGTCACAGGTGAGATCTGCCTGGACCTACAGCTTCCTCCTGGCAACTCAGAAATTGCCCTCCACTTCCCAGCTGAGCCTCTGCTAAGAGACAGTACTACTGCTCTCTTCTGTCCCAGAGGTGGATGGGGACGCTGCATTTCCCAGGCCACGAAGTGCAGCTTTGCCCCAGCACGACCTGGTATTTAATGATGGAAAGTGATTTATGGGAATATTAATATTTAATTATGAGAAGCAGCCATTGCAGGGGCAGAGGATGACTGATACAGATTTGTGTTTTGACAGGCTAAAGAAATGTATCACACGATTGTTGTCATCCTGGATAAAACAGAGTTGCACCACCAGAGCCTAAGAGAAGACTGATCAAGCGAACCACACTATTTTCCATTCTCTGAGCTCGTTCAGGGCTCCATGTCATGTCTTCTGGAGAGGACTCTTCCAAAAGACATCCATGACCTCAGAAAGCTGCTTTCTAAGACTGCCACCACAGTGTTTGTTCTGGTCTGGACCATCCCCTCCTGACCTGCCATTCAGTCCCCAAGCACTCTTCCTTGAAGCTGTGTATGCAGTGGCTAAACCAACCACAAGCCACCCTTTCTACACCATTGATTTTTCAGAGCCTGTCTCAGCACAGAGCAGCTGAACAGATACAAGCAGTTGCCTTCAAGCTATGGAGTGTGGAACTCTTCTTTTTTAAATTACTTAACAAACATGAGCAAAGACTGATACTTGCTAGAAATTTGTACATCACAATGCCCAGCTGAGGCTATGAAATGAGTGCACTGGCTGTTGCTGTCTTCTAGAGGCAGCTTTTTCTCTGTTAGTGATATCCAAGAGGCCCTATATCAGGATTTGTGAAGCAGAAGCTTGTAGAAAGCATCTTAATTGCAAAGCAGATCAGTGTTAATATACAGTTAACACATATGCTGGAGCATAGATTGAGCTGCAATGCTAAGAAAGCTTATTGTTAATTAATTTCTTACTGACATATGCATATGTTTCCCTCTACTATAAAGAAATCAGTCACATCCATGCAGCTGCCATACGTGAACAGTGGCTCCATGCCCATGGAGAAAGCGTATTCAAACAGAACTTGTATTACAGTAGAGGAGTGTCCTGGCTTGTACAAAAATGCTTAATTTATTTTTATTGCTACAGCTATCCTACTGAACTGAAAAGTATCTGCACTTTAGGAGATTGCAATAAAATAATCAAATAGAGATGTTTTGAAGCTATGACATGACAGATACTGGTTTATATCTAATATGGGAAGATTGACCTGGAGGTAACTGGCAAAGCCTGAGGAAAAGGTTGTCACTGGTGGCTGGGAAGGGGATAGATCTGAGGGCGCTCATTGCAAGCCATGATGCACAGCCAGTTCTTGCTGGCGAGCTGATGTCAGCAGCAACTACAGCATCATCCCTGTCAGGACCTTGACTTCACATGCTGCTCACTGTGGTCTGTGAGGTCTTAGCTGAAACGTGTCTCCCCCTCCCCCTTCAGCAGTGGCCCTGTAAGGCTGTGTAAAGCACCACAGCGACATGAAAGAAAGGAATAGAGAAAATAGTTGAAGATTAACTTATCCTTATTTCACTTTCTCTTCCCCTGAGCTTTTGCTGCCTTACTTAGAAGCCCAACTCATCTGGTTAGAAATGCCCCATATGGCAATAAAGCACTTTGTCACACAACCCCCTGACTTAACCAGGCCTTCTGGCTTTACAAGATAAACAAAGCACTTCTCAGAAGTTCACCCAGGCAGCAGCTGAACTCTATAAACACTGAACTCTGGATAGATAGTAGCCTCACTTAAGTGGTTAATGAAACAGGATTTTTAATGGGAAGGTAAAATAGGAACCAGCAGGCAACAGCTGAAAAATACTTCTATTGCAGAAAAGGCTTTTTGTAAAGCCCTTTGTCCTCTAGTGGGCAGAGGAAGCTAAAGACGAGTTACTTTTGAGTTAAACATTTCCAGGTTCTCCTGGTTCTAGCTGGAGCTACAAAGGGGTGGAGGTGGCTGCTGGCACATGCTTCCCATCCATTTCATCCCGCTGGCATTTATTAGCTGTCTGTTCAGGTAAGAAATGAGCTTTCATGTCTATGTTCACAATGATGGAGTCTTAGTGTATCTTAGACCAGCCTGTAGGATTGAGTGGTAAGAAAAAGATCCCAGAAGAGTTCTCAGCAGCTACAACACTGTTTTATTGTCAGTTCCGCACATACCCTTCAGTACATTTAAAAAACGTAAAACATCTCTTGAGTATAGCCATCCAAAAGCCTGTTTGATGGCCTCTCAGGCTGCAGATTCCTCTAGCAGCACTAGTGCCTGAGGCCACCAGCCTCCACAGGCATAGAACAAAGGCAGAACCCAACAAAAAGCCAACAAAAAGGACCTGGGCCAGGGAGTGGGTTCTTTCAAGCCCACTGATACCCTAAGGCCCAGGTCCTTATATAAATATAGCAGCAGAGACAGCACAGTGTCAGCTGGAGGGCCACAGCAGTACCTTAACCAGTCGTAACAGCAGCATCGCCCTCTGTATTGTAGACTGTGGGTGAGGCACAGGGAACAAATATGGCTTTAGGGGTTACAAGCAAATGCTGGAAAAGTGTTGGCAACCTTGGTGCCACTACTGGAGAGGTTAATACTGAAAGAACATCACTGCTTAAGTTAAAGGGCAGGCAGAACTAGACAAAAGTAACAAAAAAGTTCAGATTAAAAGAAAAAGAGGAATCTGAGTTTCTTCACCTTCAGAAAGTAAGCATTACCTGTGTGGTAAAAACAAATCACTCCCCTCCTGCCCTTCAAGGGGAAACATTCCATCCAGGAACTCAACCATCAAGTGGTCATTGGCAGCCCTGAGCAAAGCATGTGAACCTGTAGCATAAGGCTTCTATTGGTAACACTGAAACAAGAACCAAGAGATGGGGAGCGAGCGGAGGAACCCTCTAGGAAGCAAGGTGCCATCCCAAAGCAGAGTCCCAAGCGGAATTCTGACCCTTTCCCAGATTGCTGCAGGGAGCAGAGGCTGGAGACGCTGCAGAACATCGGAGGCAGCAGCCCATAACCTACCCAGCAGATGCAGACTTCACACCTCTTGGTAAGAGGTACTAGGGGGCTTCAGCGCCCTCGTTACTGGAGAAACTCTCCAGAAGTTCACAGAAACGGGTTTCCTGGAATTGCATGTCACTAAGGTCAGAAGTGAGCAAAAATGCAGTAGGAAAAGAAAGCTCATTTCTGCAGTTTCATGAAACTCTCCATGGCTGCGTTCAAGATCCCCTGGTCGCGCTGCTGGAGGAAGGAAGACAGCCAACACGATGCAAGGATCAGCTCTCTGAGCTTTGCAGCTCCTGCCAGTCTGTCTCACTCTCACACCTGACCCTTGTTTTGAAAAACTCCTTGATGAGTCTCTGTGCTTCCTCCTTCACTGCAAGAGAAGAAGCACCACCTTTGAGATGACACTTAAGACATCTGTCCCCTCTAAAGCCATCAATCCATTTAGCACCAAAAGAACCCAAGATTCTTGGTGCTCTCCCCAGCTGCCAACTCACCAGTCTTGCGGGCAGGGTTCTGCTCTTCAGCCAGTAAGTGAGAGAGGTGCCGAGCAAAGCCCTTAAACAGATCCTGCAGAGTTGGGGGAGGTAAAGAGCAGAAAGCAGACATCAGTTACCTCACCAGACTGTTTCCACGTCTGTCTTGCCCTCAACACAGGCTGGCTGTAGCACAACCCATTCGCACATTTAGACTACAGGAGCATTGCAAACCTGCAAATACACCTGACCCTGCAGTGCTGGAGAAACACACGCGCACACATGCTGCCTTGCAGAACACACCAAGTGAACTACACCAGAATTGGGCCTGATCTGTTGCCACTCCACAGGGGGCAGTTCTTAAAAATGTGCCAGATTTTGTGTGAAAACATGAACAATCACAAACAAGTCTGGAACCAGCATGATCTAAATCACACATAAACCCCTTCCTGGGATAGCTGAATTGCTGCATCTAGAGTCACTAAAACAGCACAACCAAGATGGGACTTGGAAATGAAATGTGGTAACCAGATCATCTTCCCCTTCTCAGAGCCCCTGACCACCAAGGAGATGCTGTCTCCTGCTAAAGAGGGTCTTGAGCTGTGCCCTACCTTGGAAGCAAATTTGCCACCCTTGTAGAATGGGGTCAAACATTTGACAACGATGTCTGCTGTGTCTTTGAGGGACATGCCTTTGGTCACCGGCTGTATGGTCTTGCTGCTTCCTTCTTTATCACATTGCGATAAGTTTGGATCAAAAGTCACCTTCTTCTTTGTTGGACCAACACTTTTGCTTTCTGGCTGAGACAGAATAGAAGATTTTGCCACTGTCCGTAGCCGCTTTGTTGCAGGACTTTCCATATCCTGGAGATGGAACAGAAGAAAACCAAACCCACCAATTCCTGTGGCAGCATTACACTTCCAAGCAGCCACTACCTTCTGAGAACGTGCAGCATCCTGCAGGCTCTCCCTGTAGTGAATGCCATGCAGGAATCTACGTAACTTGTTTTGCTGCATAGACATAAACTGTTTCTCACACAAAGAGACTTTGAGAAAAAACCTTTAAGACTATTACATTCAGAGTTACCCCATGCTCTTAATAGGACAGGTCATTGCTAGACCTTGTCCTACACAGGAAAAACTGACAGGAAAAGATTTCCTGGGATGTCTGCTTAGGATACACATCTCAGGAAGAGTCAACCACTTCAGGAGTGCCACACTCCAGTTTGAAAGAGCAAGAAGACTGCACAGTGCAGACAGCTACCAGGCAGTCTCAGAGGCCAAATGCAGAACAAGAGACTAAATGGCAAGGAAGACTGTGAGCATGGTTTGCTTCTGAGTGGTCCTGTGTGTCACTGGTCTGTGGTTGTTCCCTTGGTTTGAGAAAGCAGCTTGCTAATTATAGTTACAGATCTTGAGGGGGTGGAGACACTCATTCTGGGCAAGTCATCAGCAAAGGTACAGTCACATGTGTTGCAGGGAAGAGAAAGCAAAGCAGAGTTGAGGGGAAGCTTTCCACTGCAGCCTGAGGTGCTGGCACTGTGCAGTGGGCAGCAGTGGAACACCAGGAGTGCAACACAACTACAGTTCTCCCCTCTGGTCTAACTGCAGCCAGGCCCTCCCCAGATAAAGAACTCTATCGGGTGAGGTTCAGGTCAGGAGTGTCACTCCCAGAGAGAAACCTGGCACAAGATGAGCAGAAGAAAGACAGGAAACCAGCATCCATTAAAGTCTTACCTCATCTGATCCTGGTCGCTTCCCACTTTCACCTTCAACAACCGTTAACTCAGTTTCTGCGACATTTTCTGCAACACTAGTGGGAAAAGCAGAGAGAAGGCTGATTTTAATCATTCCACAGTGAAGGTATTAACACATGCCCTGTCAGTGGCCACAAGACTCTCCATAGTAAAGCAAGAGTCTTCCTCACCACATCTAATACAGATTCTCAAGTTTCCAGGACAAGGCTGGTGGGGCTCTGCAGCTCATTGACAGGGCAACACAGGGAGCAGAGAGGCAGAGATTTTACCTGGCTTTTACATCAATTTCTTCCTGAGGGAGTTCAGATTCAGCAGCCTGCTGCGTCTTAAAATCCTCCTCTCTCTCAGTCAGTGTTACTTCTGTCTCTCCCAGTTCTTCATTCTTTGCCTGAGACTGTCCAGTTACATCTTCTCCAGAGACATCTTTGTTTTCCTGAGGTGTTGGTTTCTCTTGACACATGCTTTGAGACGAAACCTGAGGTATTATACTTGCAGAGCAGCCATCTTCCTTTGCTGAGCTGCAACTTTTGGCTTTAGACCCACCTTTGGGGAGGGAGAAGAATTTGGAAATATCCTGTGATTCTTTTTTAGCTGCTTCTGCGAGCATTTGCTGTTTCTTGCTAGGTTTGGACTTCTTAGTAGGGCTGTCCCAAAGGACAGCTTTTGTGTCTGGACTGGGTTGCTGTCCTGTATTTTCAGGAAGGAGTACTTCTACCCCAGCACTCTCACAAGTTGCTTTGGCTCCTATTTCGTTCTTCTGGAGAACAAGGTTTCTGTTGTCCAGTTCCAGACTGCAGATGCTGTTGTCTTGCCCATTTGCATGATCTGTTTCTTTTTTGACAGGCCTTACATCACTCTCCTCCTGGATCTTCAGCAGTTCTGAAGCTGTCTGAAACAAGCTGGATTTCTTTGGAAATCCTGCTCCCACACGCTTGGGTTTGAACTAGGGAGAAAGGGAGAAGAAGAAATTTTGGATATGAGAGCATTAAGGAAGCCTTGAGAACATGTGCAGAACCCTGAGAGGAGCTGAGTTTCTCTATATAATACAGCAGTGTGTACAGCCATAAGCTGGGGAAGGCTCCAATACTGACTTATCATAACCATCAATGGAGCATCAGGGAAATGGGTGAGGTTAAAGTCATCGGCCCGCAGTAAGGAAACAGACAGCATCCTTGGTTAGGGCAAGATGAGAAAAACTTATTTAATATATAGCCTGCACATAGATTATATTCACTAACAGGAACCAGCATGACTAGTTGATCTCACTCCAGAAAGAAAGGACAGACAGGGAGAACAATTATAATAGAAATATACAGCTATGGCTACAGAAAGGACTTAAAATTTTAAAAGCAGATAGACAAAGCACACCATTCCCTCCTTGTCTATCCCATCTGTACTCACTCACCGAGTAAACCTGGGATGCAGGGAGGAAGTCCTCTTCTGCTGGAGACATGGATTTTGTTTCCAAGCTGCTGTTGCCACCAGTTCCAGACCCAAAGACTGAGAACAACTCTCCATGTTTTGAGGCTTTGCTGATTTCTGCTACCTGAAAAGAGAACAGAAATATTCTCTAATGGCCAGAAACCTTTATGCATTCCTACCTTTGTACATACTAAAAGTCATAGCGACAAAACAAATGTCTCCCCTGGAGAGACACCTATCTCAAAAGCAGAAACACCTTTGGAGAGGCTTATGGCAACCAGCTAACTTAAACCAAGGTTCCTCTTTGGGCAGTGACAGCCTGAGGAACTCCCCATTCCCATTACTGCCAGATCTAGAAGATACCTGGATGAGCCTGCACTGGTATGTATTTCCAGACCCTGTAGAGCCAACAAAGATGTGAAACAAACCTGATTCTGGGCCCTCCTGGAATCAAAATCAAGAAGAAAGATTTGGAAGACATCCAAAGCAAAGCAGAGCTTCTCCTGCATCTTTTCCACACACAAACTACCTTATTTTCCCTCCAGTGGAAGCCACACCACATTCAAGGGAACGACAGCAGACGTATGGCCCTACCTTCTTTAGCACAGCTGCCTTGTATGAGTTAGCCATTTTACTGGTTCGGAAAGCTTCATACTCCATCTCCACAGCAGAGGCATGAGGGTCTGACCTGTAACACAGCCTGGGGTGATTTCTGGCAAGACACGCTTCTATAACTGCAAAGGGAACACTAATGCTTAAGCACCTCCCAGCAAGTACAAAATTCACTCCCTCCCGTACAAGAATAAGTGATAACTTGCAATTAAGTCCTAAGGGATGCAGCAGTGAATTGCTGGAGCATGGAAAGGCTGGTGACAGATTAAATTGAAGTTCTCTTGTCCAGTCGCTCAATTTGTGTGGTTCACCATCCCCATCTTGTGGGACAGGGAAGAACTGCGACTCCTAGGATCAAGCTGATTCAGCAGAATCAGACACAGGAATCCTCATACC